ATATATATATATATATATATAATCAAGGAGTTAGACACAAGTGATTAATATGTTGAACTTAATATTAAATCATTTAAGTAGTCCACAAATTTGATCTTTGACAGAAATAATTCTTAATTAGATTTTATTTACATTTTGGTTGAATCAAATTAGTATAAGATAAAGTCTTAAAATACTGATAAGAAACGATATATATATATATATATATAATATAAATTATTTATATAAATAAACATCTTGATAATTAGTTTTAAAAGGAAAAAAAAACTTATTTATAAATTAAAAATTAACTTTTATATAAATTAATATAAGAGAATTTATATAAATTAACTTTAGTATAAATTAATTTTATTTTATTTTTTAAAAATATTTTCTTCTCTAGAAGTAACTATGAGAAATTTATCTAAATTGATGTTCGATCAATCCCCAAAAATTGAGTGTTTTGTTATGTATTGATAGGTCATGTGAGCAAGATACAACTTAATTGCAAATTGTAAAATATGATAGAAAAAATCATAAGAAAAAAAATTGATTTCGTGCATATTAAAAATTTTAGTTATTTATATTAAATTTTACTAATCTTATAACTTTTTTTCTAAATTGATCTTGTTATGAATATTAAAAAAAAATAGTGTAATTAAAAGATCATGCATGCATAATGAGAGTTATTTTAGGAAGAGAAAATGAAGTAAAAATAGTTAAAATTTATTTATATTTAAGAATATGAAAAAAAAGTGTAATTTTTTGTTCATAATATACAGAACAGAGGAAGTATATATATATATATATATATATATATATATATATATTTAGTTTTTAACATGATAAATAGTATATTTTAGGCTAAAAACCTATTTTGGTCCCTTAGAATAATTGTTTGTTTCAATTTAGTCCCACTTTTATTTTTTGTCTCAATTTGGTCCCTAATAAATTAATTGGTTGCAATGTGGGACTTCCGTCTAAATTATTTAAATAGAGTTAACTGTTGGCCACGTGGATGCCACGTAAATGCACAGGTGGATGCCAAATTTCTTGAAAACACCTGGAACCAGAACGGCCCATTCTGAAACTAGAACGGGCCGTTCTGGGTTCACATTTGGTGTGTTAATTTTGAATCTGAAACGGGCCGTTCCAGATGCAAAATTAACAAACTACGAGTACATAAGAACGTCCTGTTCTGAAACCAGAACGGCCCGTTCTGGTTTCAGAACGGCCCGTTCTGGATGCAGAACAGCCCGTTCCAGAACTATAATAATTTTAAAAAATATTTTTTTATGATAAAAATTTTAAAATTACTTATTTTTATAAAATACAATTGTCTTATAAAATAGAGTGATAACTTTTCCTTTTTCTCTTTCTGTCTGAAAAAATATTTAAGTGTCACTTAATAATTTTTTGCAACTTATTTAAAATTAGAAGAATAAAATGACAAAAAAATAATAGGATAAACATAATAAAATTATTAATTTGTTTTCTTTTAGTGTCCTCTAAATTTTTACACTCATTTAAAACAAAAATATTTTATATGTTATTTTGAATTAATTTAACGAAGTATCATATGATTTTTAATTTTTTAAAAAATTTTATAAATTTGATCTATATATGAAAAGTTTTTTAATTTAACAATTAAATTTTTAGAAATTTGATATAGAACATTAATTATTAAGTAAAATAAATCTATCAAGACTTAATCTTGAAGTAAGTAAATTTTTTCTTCATTAAAAATGAAGATAATTTTACCACAAAATAAAAAATAATTAAA